CCCCCCGGGTGGGGTAAACCAAAACCTATCTTCCCAGGGAGGGGCAACATGTCCAAACATGTTCTTGGAGAATTACAAAATGGCTTCAGAGAATTACAAAATGGCTTCAGCTAGGTAGAACAAGCACCTCGGCCCCCAGCAGGGAGTTGTTATCGTTTCTGAGTTCTCATGGCTGTCCAGTGTAGTCAGGGAGCAGTAACCAAGCTGAGTTAGCTTGTAATAGAACACAAAGCTTCAGAAAATATGTTATTGCCAAAATTATAGATGCACAACAAATTGTGCCTCTCTCCTTGAGGAGAATAGAAATCCCAGAACATTTGATTGTGCTCATACTAAATCTATACTCAGACCAAAAAGCATTCCTCAGAACAGCAAGGAAACACTACAAGTTTCAAAATCAGGAAAGGTGTGCATCAGGGATGCATACCTTTCCAGTCTCTATGTAAAAGAGTTCATTCAGGAGGTTGTGCAATGTGCAAATGACACAAACTTGCTTGCTGACACTGAGGTGGACCTGAAGCACTTGCTGCAGGAGGTTTAGATTGTCGTCTGCAATATGGATTGAAGGGCAGCATCAAGAAGACGAAGATTTTCACCACTGGGCTAATTGGCAGCACCATGATAGATGGAGTAGAGATTCAGGTGGTTAACATTTTCGGTTTGCTCAGCTCCACAATCAACATTCTTGGTACCCACAGCAAAGAAATAAAAAGATGAATTGCACTGGAAATATCTATTGTCAGCGACCAGTCCAGAGTACTGAGAAGCAATGATGTCAGTCTATAGGCTAAAGTGCGCTGATCCAGGCCATGGTCTTTGCAATCACTTGCTATTCATCTGAGAGCTGGACAATGACTGAGGAGGACAGACGAATTGTTGCCTTTGAGTTGTGCTGCTGGAGTATTGAACATACCATGGACCGCCAAGAGAATAAAAATGTCTGCCTTGGAAAGGGTGAAACCGAATTTCTCCTTGGAGGCTAAGATTTGTAAGCTGCGTCTCATACTTGGGCACATGGCCAAAAGGGACCGATCCTTCGAAGACATCATGTTCGGAAAAGTGGAAGTAAAGAACAGGAGAGGGACCCCGGACGAGATGGGTTGACAGGAAGTCAGGTAATTGGGGTAGACTGAGACAGGCTCAGGATAGGGCAGGCTTCATAGCGATTATAGTGTTGCTATGAGTTTCAGGTGATTAAGTGACATATAACTACTTTTCTTAACATGGCTGTCAGAAAAAAATTAGGTTTCCCTAATGAGTCGCAGGCGACTCGACGGCACATAACAACAACAATGCAAACATATATGCTGCTACTACATAACTTTGTCTCATTTTGGCACCTTAATAAATAACATGCCCAAGTCCTTGATAAACGACATCAGCTCGAAAATGTAGGTAAATGAAAGAAAATCCTTCCAATAGATGGACTGATACAGTGAATGTAAAGATGCGCCTGAGAACTGCAGACAACTTTAGGATTCGCCAAGACAGGGCAAGGTTCACATCAATTGTTCATAGGATTTCTGTTTCATACACAACTAGAAGGTAACTATCAACAAGATCTACTTTACCAATACCAAATTTGATGACTTTCTACAGACACTGGTCCTTTCCGATAACACGCCTAAAGTACGCCAAGTCTCGTGATCTTCATTTCTCTGCAACATTCTAATTGCAATCTGTACCTAAAGATTACTGCTTAAAATGCAGGGTCTTCCAGGAATATGCCGCTTTTCAAATACAGACTGTCCTCCTCTGGTTTCAGCAACGTGGGTTTTTTTCTCAACGGAAAATATTTCATATGCTCTTAACGAGGTAGAATCCACTTTGTATTTACCAAAACCATCCACTGAGTTTAATTCCATCACAAGAGACACTAGTTTAAAACATGGAGAAGGCTGGAAAGCCACAGGCTAACTTTACAAAGCAGGTGCTCCCTGGAGAACAAGGCGAGCTGCCCACGGCAGCAGGTATTCCTTCGGGCTCCACATTTGCAACACTACCTCTAAGAAAAGCAGAACCCTAACAGATCTGATGTGTGCAAAGGCCTGCCCAGTGCCGCGTGTAAAAGGCGGGACTTCCCTATTTCTTGCGTCTTTCTTAGTGCGACGGGAAATGCCATTGGCTTAATGGGTAAGGTCAAAAGGTTATGAGCCCCAGACGCGCACGCATGCGCTTTAATCCACACAGATGTTCTTAGCGCGTGCGCGTAGTAATACTACTTGAGGCTGTTCGCGGTGTAGCATCAATGTGGGATTTCTCCCTCTAACTCGGTCAGTTATGCTGTGTAGGCTCGCAGGTAGATGGCTGCGGCGATTGCCTGACCTGCAGCTGGCGGTCAGGGTCTCACCAACTGTTCCAGGAACAAGGGGCGCCCTCATGCGCCCCGCTGTCCCTGTTTGGGCGGTGGCTTCCGTCTCTGCGGTGGAGCCGGGCGGCGCGGGTGGCTGGTATGAGTTCCTGGCTGCGTCCGCGCCGGTGAAGGGCGCAGAGGACCTGCTGCTCAGCGCACACGCCGCCTCAGGCCTGCCGTGGTGGGGCAGCATTCTCCTCACGACCGTGGCCTTGCGCGGCGTCGTCACGCTGCCCCTGTCCGTCTACCAGCACTACATCTTCGCCAAGGTGAGGACGACCTGGGCGCGCGTGGACCCCAGCGGCCGACCCTGCTCATGGGGGGAGGCTGCTATCTGTCGGGCGTGCGTTCTCTTGGAACTCCTGGAGGGATTCCGTTTATCTTGCTCTGGAATTTTAACTGGTTTGGGGGATATGAAGTAGGGATGCTTCATGACAGAGGTACCTGCCGTCTCGCTTTTCTTAAATGGGGTTGTAGTCAGAGTACAAGTAGTTACTAAACTTGCGCTACTGAAAAGGAAATAGAAAAAAATTGTGCAGAGTTTAACGTTACCTCTATTAACAATCCTGTAGGTCTGCGACATCTTAATATCCAAGCATTCAAAAATTATTCTATTAGAAAACAACTACAGAACTTGCAATTTGCAAGTTTGGTTAGTGTACTGAACAGCTCCCTATAGTTCAGTCGTTTGACTAGTATGTATTTCTTTCCTATTAAAAAATACTAACCTCACAGTGTTACCGTATCAGATCATTACATGCATTAAAGTACTTTCAAAACCCAACATTCAAATGTTGATTTCAAAAATAAGGTTGTTCTATAATTACTATACTTTGGGGTAGGGAGCCCTGGAAACAACTGGAAAAGATGTATACCATTAAGTCAGGTTACTAGTTTGTGGAAAACAGAATTAACAAGTCATAAGTAAAGTGTGTTATTAGCTCCTTTTCGGTTATCCCACAACCACAGAATTTACTTAATAGTAGATCACTAGGATGGTCCATGGAAGAAATGGATAGATACAGTGACTTCCTTAATGTATCTTACTCTGGAGGCTCCACTGAAACTTTAACTTTATGCTGTTCTTTACTACCATACAGTCAATTCCAACTCATAGCGACCTGCTTTTGCAGAGTAGAACTGCTCTGTAGAGTTTTCAAGGTTTAAGATTTCTCAGAAGATGTCCAGGCCTGTCTATTCCGCCATCTCTGGATGTATTTGAACTGCCAAACCTTTGATTCTTCTTGTTATGTGCCGTGGAGTTGCTTGCAACTCTGTGTACAACAGCTTTGAACCCTGCTGTATCCTGAGCCAGCTTCATCATCTCTTGACACATCTACCCTCATTACCCCAGTCACTGTCTTGCTCTGTCCCTTCACCCTCCAAGACAGGTCGCTCCTTGCAACATGCCTGGAGTATGTTAGACAAAGCTTTCGAGTCATTACCTCCAAGGAGCAGCCTGGCTTCACCCTCTCCAGGACGAACTTGTTTATTCACCTAGCAGTATATTCAGTACTAGTATATTCAGTACTCTTTTTCCACACCACAGCTTACAGTCATCAGTTCTTCTATCATCCCAAGTCATTGTCCAGCTTTCTGATGCACAGCAAGTAATTGTAAAGACCATGGCCTTTATCAGGCCTGTATCCAGCCTGACATCGTTGTTCTTCAGTACTCCGGAGAGGTCCCTGACAGCAGATTTTCCCAGTGCAATTAGTCTTTTGATTTCCTGGCTGCTGGTACATTTGACTAGTAGCATGTAATTATTTGTCACAGCCAGGAATTTTACCTCAGTGTTACAGTAAGCCTTCTCTTGACAGATTTGTGCTTGCTGTGCTCCAGGTAATAATGGCTGAGAATTCTCCCATGTAGGAGAATTCGGCTACTGAATCACTACAGCCTTCTCCACATAACGTATTAAATAGGTAAACCTGAACTGAACCTACTTCTGTCAAACTCAGGGTGACCCTCCATAATGCCTTATTTTTGCTTCATAGAGTAGCTGGTAGATCCAGACCGCTTACTTTTTGGATTGCAGTCCAGCATGAAACTCTATACAACCTTACTTAATAGATAAACTAGCTTTGGTGGCACAGTGGTTAAAGAATGTGGGCACCAACCTAAATACTGGTGCTTTTATCCACCAGCTGCCCCACAAAAGAAAGATGTGTTTCTCAGCTTCAATAAAGATTGACAGGCACAGAAACTTCTGAAGTAGTTCTTTTCTGTCCCATATGGCCACTAGTAAGACAGAATTAACTATTAGATGGATTTGCTGAACTTTTATAGACTAGGGAGCTCTTGTGGCTTAGTGAGAAGATGTTGCACTTCCAACCCAGAGGCTTCTGATATGCCTTTACATGCTCTGAGAGAGATGAGCATTCTTACTCTTCTCCCATGCAGTTTACAGCCTCTGAAAGTCAGCTATGAGTCGATTCCAACTCAGAGGTATACATTACTAGACTATGAATTGAGTAGGAAATCTAGAGAAGAAAAAAAAATAGGGTGTAATTCTTATTTACTTCTTAAGAAAACCCTGTGAAATAGATGATGTTACATTCATTTCTGAAGGTGCAGCATTTTGGAGGTTAAGTAACTTGCTTGGAAGCATATAGCTAAGTAAGCAGGCAGTATTTTAATTTTACTGTGACTGAGGACATGAAAGATTAACATGAAAGATTTTTGAGATGTTAAATGTTATTTTTTATTTATTTTATTTTTATTAATTTTTGTGCATGTACCGTCAAATCAGGTCTGACTGGTACAGGAGGAGATTGCCCCTCCTTCTCCAGCAGAGCATCTGGTGGATTCAAACTGCGTGCCTCTTGAGATTGCAGTGCAGCTTCTTACCACTAGGCCACCAGAGCTCCCTGAGATGTTAAATATTTTTAAGTGAGTTATGTGAATAAAAAATAAATGAGCAGTTAATGAATGAAATTTCTTTTATGCTTGTAATGAGTTCTACTTTTCTTTAGCTAGGTGGAAAATTTGCAGCCAGAAATAAAAAATATTGCCAGGCTTCTCAACCACGAAGTTGCAGTACGAGCACATCAATTAGGATGGTCCAAAAGAGTTACCAGGTAAGCAAATTCTATGCATTTAAAACCATGAATATATCTGTAAGTTTAAATGATGATAAATTTGGTTTAGACATTCTTTCACCTTAATAACAAAGTAGTATTTTTTACTCTTTAGCATTTTAATGCATTTACATGGCATGATAGTTTTGTATACTAAATTCAAGGCAAAAGAATTGATAAAGATGAGCTTGTGTTTTTGTTTTTTTTAATGGCTTCAGCCCATAGAAGAAGCTGACCCTGTAATCAGATACTGATTGCAGGGAATTAAGTGTTGTGTACAGGTTTGGTACAAGGAACTAGGCCACCAAGGAAAGTCAGGAGAGGAGTCTTTGCAGGATGAAGATCATGTGCCACTTAATTGAGATATTATTCAACAAGTGATACAGACTCTTTACAAATTTGGTCTTTATTTAAAAGAGGCAGAAGGGAGTAATAACCCATGAGTTTGAGAATATAGAAAATAAGAGCACAATGATAGCCATGTATGTAATTATGCAGTTACTCTGAGCAGTTATATATCCACCTGTTCTCGATGAAGTCCTTGGCCAAGGGTGCTTTTTGCCACATGGCAGTTTTCTGCCTCTTATTGTCTGCTGGGAACTTCTTAAATCCTGGCTCCACCTCTGTAAGCTCTACTTTCGTTTCCAAATTCTTAATGGATTGTAATACAAGGCTTACAAATGTACAGTCGTTGATCGCTGTCAAGTTGAGCACGACTTATAGCAATCCTATGAACAAAAGGCCTAAAATCTTTATATAACTACTGTCATTTATCAAAGTTCATAGAGTTTTCAGAGGCATGTTGTTTAGGAAGTGGATGCCACTCCTGCTTCCAAATATACAACAGTGAGAAAAATAAGGGCTATGAAAGGGCTCCATTCCATTGACTTTATTGTAAGTAGGTTCAGATATACATTGAATACCTCTTTTTTTGTTTGTTTTTGTTGTTAGAACCACTTATAGTCTGTTTCTTTGAACATCTACAAGCAAGGATCTAAGAATGAAAAAAAAAAAGATCAGTAGATTTTACCCTGCTGCTGTACCCTGCAGTGCTTTGTATTTCATATTACTGATGATGAGTCTTGTAACAAAAAACTAGGTGATTCAAGTGCAGTTCATCCATCATAACTTATTCAAGTTGTTAGAACCCCCTCTATTCAGTTTGAGGCCATTCATCAAGTTTCTAGGATTATAACCTTTAGGAAAGGAAACTGCCTATGTTTCTTCTGTGGAATGGCTAATAGGTTCAAACTGCCTGCCTTTCAGTTAGCAATCTAATATATATCACTATACCCCTGATACTCCTTAACCTATATATATGCAAATATTTTTTTCTATTTAGGTATAAATTTGCCAGCTATATTAAAGGTAGTTGATAGAACTTGGAGAAAGGAAGAAAGTTTACAAGTGTTCAGGTCTTTCATTCATCGGGTCACTATGAGTCTTTAAGAAGACTTCAGAGAATATTTTTTGTTTAAGTGTAAAGATCATTTTCGTTTTGATATAGATACTTCAGCAGGTTTTCAGAGGCTGTAAAGGATTCTAAAGCTGTAAATGCTTGTCCATCTTTATCCCTGGGAGCAGCTGGTGGATGTGAACACCCTTCTTTCAGGCAAGGCAGCTCCTTCCCACTAGGTTACCACAGCTAGTTGATATTATTTTAGGACAGTGAGGATGGCGTAGGATAGGGCAGGGTTCCAGTCTCCTGTCTGTAGGGTCTCTATGAGTTGTGGCCGACTTGATGGCACCTAACAAGAACAAGGTGATTAAATTCAACAAACCTATTCAGTGCTTTCCATGCACAAAATATGTGATAGCTGGAAAAAAGGGCTAACACTTTCCCCTCAGAGACCATAGTATGGAAAGCAGAATTACAGATAGAAATAGTTTTTTAAATATTTGGAAAATTTAATTAAAAAGCAATGGTTTTTACAGATAAGTAAGGGCATATGTAGTACAAAAGTGTATAAATAGAAAAGGTATGTTTAAGAATTAAGTTTGGTCAGAGTTAGGTATTTGAATAAAATACATTTTCAGGTTTAGTATTTCTCATGTAAACTCTAATTATACTGTATCATTAATGACGTTTCCACACTTAAAGTTTAGCCAAAGACCATAAGAAAAAAACCCTATAATTTGACATGCCTTATGTAGTAGGTTATTATGTATACTTCTGTTAAAGGACTAGTTTGCCTTATGTTTAAGCAGCCCAGGGTTCAGAACTGTTGTCCATAAGGTTGCTAAGAGTTATACTCAACTTGATGGCACATAGCAACTTAAAACAAAACAAACCAAAAAAAAGTGCATCTGTCATTTAGTCAGAACCCACACCATGACTTGTTTGCACTTTAGTAATCAAATGACTTTTTATTTTTTTTCCTCCTCCCCCCATCTAGGATCACTTATTTCAAGAATATGCGCAGACTTGTTTCAGAGCTGTATGTCCGGGATAACTGCCACCCTTTCAAAGCCACTGTGTTGGTTTGGATTCAGCTGCCAATGTGGATCTTCTTATCTGTTGCTCTCCGGAATTTTAGCATGGGAGTAACACATTCAGAAGGCAATTATCATAAAAGCCTGTTTTCTCCAGATAAATGTTTTACCAAACTTGGGGGGAGGGTGACAATTATATGTACTTTCTATGATCAGAATATATTTATTTTATTTACAAGAGTATAGGATTTAAAATCTTGAATATAAACAAACTATTGAAAAAAAGCAGATTCATCTAGGAAAGACATCAGTGATAATGGTACCAGAGGCCCATGATAAGATGAATGTTATAATTCGATATTTTGATTTCCTGGTCCATAATTTTTTTCTATTTATCAAATTGAGAGACCAGAAAAATTTCCTGGTTTATATTTAACTATTAGGAAAATACATTTATACAGGATACATGCAAAAAGATTGGCATTTTACTTACGATTTAAAGTTCCTTCTGACTTGAAGACTATGAACAAATAATTATTTAAGTCTAAAAAGATTCTTTTTTATGCTCGCTCTAATTATTTGCTTACAGAGTTCCTTGTATCTTAAGGAGTCACTGTTAAAATACTAAGAATAACCTGGATAAAACTAGTGCAGATCTTTACTATGAGGAACCCCTTATTGGCATTATCAACACTTAACCTGTCTTTTGTATTTATTGCCACTGTATTTAGGAATTCTGATGAAGTTTTTTTAACAGGTCTTTCTGTTCAGGAGCAGTTAGCTACTGGTGGGGTTCTGTGGTTTCCTGACCTCACTGCTCTGGATTCCACTTGGATTCTGCCTATATCTGTTGGTGCTGTCAACTTATTAATAGTTGAGGTAGGTTGTTCAACTTACTGGAATTTTTGTTAATTGTCCTGGCATCAAATGTCAATGTGTTGGAATTGGACGGAACCCTGAACTAAAGTTGAAATACCTTGGTTTCTAGTTCCAAATGAACTACTGACAATCTATTTTAAGGTAGTTTCTTAACCTTTTGGGCCTCATGTTGCTCTTTAAAAGAAGAGAGCTAGCTGTTTCAGAACACTTGCAAGTTTTTTTTCAATTTTAAAATCATAGGATTATAAAATGTACAATTTTGTGATCTACTTCTGGCAAGAACAAAAATAGGATAGGTTTTGAGGTACATTGTACATAAGGTCACTGAATTGTACTCGACTCAACGGCACCTGACAACAATTAAAAATGCTGGATCAATGTTTTAGTTACATAATATAGAGTGGTAGTTTATGTATGTACTTAGTATAAAAATTTGTAGGCAGTCTCTACCTGAGTACCTTTTTTAAAAAAAAGCAACAAAAAACTCTGTAACCTCAGAAAAGTTGTTGAACTTTCCTATAAGAAAGAGGGAGGAAGGAAAATCCAAATATACCTATCAGAACCCCTTAGCCATTTGCCATATATTACCATTATTCCATGCTGCTTTACTCAAGAACAGTATGCATATCATTTCTTAAAGAATTATTCTCAGACTCTGAGTAGAACATAGATTCAGTAAACTGGAATGATAAAGAATTTATTTACCTCAGTTGCAATTTCATAAACTTCATGTTTGTAAGTTAATGTTGGAAATCTGATGGAGCCTTTTATTTTTTTGATAAAAGATCTTGAGTGAAAGTTTTTCAAAAATAGAATCTGTGTGTATGTAGTCTAATTATACTTCCCTACAAGACATCTAGTACAGTCATGAGAGCAAAATTGATACTCCTTTAGAAGAAAGTGACATAAAGTCATAGTTAATGATAGTCAGACATCTAGCCTTCCCTCTATCACTCTGCTACCCAGTGACATATAATAAAAGCTTACTAAATACATAGTTGTCCCCATTCCCAAGTAAGGTAATCCAACAGGATATGGAAATTATTGAACAGTGCCATTAATATCTTACACAAGCAAAATACTGAAAATCATTAAAAAATGGCTAGGACAATATGTTGACAGGGAACTTCAGGCTAGGTTTTAGAAGAGGCTGCAGCACCAGTCATTCTTGCTGATGCTGAATGGTTACTGGCTTGAAAGCATAGATTACCAGAAGAATGTCTGTTTGTCTTTTATTGACTATGCAAAGGCATTTGACTGTGTGGATCATAATAAATTATGACTAACATGGAGAAGATTGGGAATCCCAGAACACTTCATTGTGCTCTTGTGAAATCTATACCTAGACCAAAAGAGCAGGGGAATGCTGCATGGTTTAGAATGAGGAAGGATGTGTGTTGGGGTTGTATCCTTTTTCCATACTTATTCAGTCTCTATACTGAGCCAACAGTATGTGAAGCTGGACTCTAGAAGAAGAATGTGGCCTCAGGATTGGAGGAAGACTCATATTATATAGATGTCCTGATTTTGCTTGCCAAAAGTGAGGAGGACTTGAAGCTCTTGCTGAAGAAGTTCAACTACTCAACCTTAACGATAGATAAAGGATTTAAGCGATCAGTGATTTTCTTGCTTGAATCAGCAATCAGCACACAATCAGCAGTCAGGAAATCAAGAGATGCATTGCATTGGGCAAGTCGGCTGTCAGGAATTTCCAAAATACTGAAGAGCAATGATGTCATTTTGAAGACTAAGGTGTGCCTAATTCAGCCCATGATCTTTTCAGTCACTTGGTATGCATCTGAGAGCTGGACAGTGAATAAGGGTGATAGAAGAATTGAGGCCTTTGAGCTGTGATGTTGGAGAAGATTACTAAATAACCCATGGACTGCCAAAAGAACAAACAGATATGTCTTGGAAAAAGTGCAGCTTGGTAAAGCTTTTTCTTTCATACTTTGGACTTGTAACAAGGCAAGGCTATTCCTTGGAAAGTGACATCATATTTGGAAAGATGGAGGGTCAGCAAAGGAGAGGAAGACTCGTAAGGAGATCGATTGACAGTGATTTCAGCAATGGGCTCTAGTGTGTCAGAGATGATGAGGCTAGTACAGGATAGGTCAGCTGTTCATAGGGTTGCTCTGAGGTATACTCAGCTTGATGGTACTTAACAACACCAAAGATACACTGCTTGCTTAGTACTGTTGTAAGCAATTTATATGCAAAAATTCAGAATTATTATTTGTAAAGTGACACAGGAAAAAAGTTAACTTGCCAGAATACCAAATTACTAACTGCAAAGCTATTAAGTGAACCTAGGTCATTAGATTCTAGAGTCTATAAATTTTTTTAATTTTTTTTTTTATTTTATTTTCATTTGTGTGTGTATACCATCAAATCAGATCTGACTGGTATAGGAGATTATTGCCCCTCCTCCAGCAGAGCATCTGGTGGGATTCAAACAGTGTACCTCTGTGATTGCAGTGCAGATTCTTGCCACTAGGCCACCAGAGCTCCCTGAGTTTATACTTTTTTTAAAAAAAAATTATCACTATTTTAATGAAAATTTACAGAGATTTTGGATATTCATTCATTCATTGTTGCACTTTTCTCACTACCTACCCCTCATTCTTCTGTTTGAAAAGTAAAAGAAAAAATCTTTCATTGTTATACAATCTCTCCCTCCCCAAGTCCATTCCACTATGTTCTGTACTATTTTTAATCATTAGTTTGCTGATTTCTTAAATAAGTAATTAATAAGTCACTTACTTTTCTTTCCTTGGTCCTTCCTTTTAGTCTATGTAACCACATCACAGACCCTTGGAAATAACTTCGTCTCTGTACCAGACACTACTTCAGTGCTAGAAAATAAGAGTTCATATAGAACCCTTGCATTCAAGGAGTTTCAATCTTAATGGATGAGCTTTGGAAAATACTTCTTCTGAAAATTAAGCGTTTTCTTTATTTTTATATAGTTGGATCTTTATTACTATTAAAGCTCTGTTTAAGAACTTAATTTATTGTTAAGAAGGATACCCACATATATTTACCAAACCATAAATCATGTAAATATTTTTGCTTTTGGTTTGGGGTTGGTTCCCCCCCCCCAATATATTAACATTAAGGGAGAAGCCAGTCAATTACTTTATATATCTGATTGAATATACATTTTAATAATTATTATATATGTATATATTTTTCTCCTTCAGATAATTGCTCTGCAAAAAATGGGAATGTCTCGTTTTCAGAAGTATGTTACATACTTTGTCCGTGGAGTATCAGTGTTGATGATTCCAGTTGCTGCAACAGTACCTTCAGTGAGTAAGCATAAGTATTATTTGTTGTTGTTAAGTGCTAACCCACTGGCAGGTTTTTAGAGGCTTGTGATGCTGGGAAAAGGTTTTGAACATACCATGGACCACCAAGAAAATAAATAGGTCTGTGTTGGAGAGAGTGAAACCAAATTTCTCCTTGGAAGTTAGGATTTTGAAGCTCTATCTTATATTTGGACATGTGGCCAGAGGGACCAGTCCTTGGAGAAAGACATCATGCTTGGAAGGGTGGAGGGGACAGTGAAGGAGGGGAAGGCCCCAGATGACATGGATTGATACAGTGACTAGGACAATGGGGGGTAGGTGACTCAGAGTCAGTGAGACTGGCTCAGGACAGGGGAGGCTTCAGAGCTATTGTACATCGAGTCGCTGTGAGTTGCAAGTGACTTAACACACAACAACAGATCACATGGGAAGAGATCACACCTTTTTCGTATGGAACAGCTGGTGGGTTCGAACTTCCCTTTGGGCTAGCAGTGTAGTTCCCTATAAATTGTGGCACCAGAGGTCACTTGTTTGACTCATAGCAACCCTGTGTACAACAGAACAAAACACTACATGGTCTGGTGCCATCCATAATAATCATTACTGTGTTTGATCCCATTGTTGTAACCACTGGATCTTTCTCATTGAGAGTCATGCTCTCTTTTCCTCTCTACTTTATTAAGAATTTTGCCCATTTTCAAAGATTGATTCTTTCTGATAACACATCCAGAGTATGTAAGATCAAGTCTCATCACCATTGTTCCCAGAAAGCATTCTAGCTGTGCTTTTCCAGGACAAACTGGAAATCCATATTATTAGTGTTCATTGCCAACACCATATTTTAAAGTCCTCATCAGTTTCCTTTCTTGTTCATTTGCCAGCTTTAGTATGCATAAAAAGCAGTTGAAAATTGTGCTTGGATTTGTTCTTTTTGCTGTTACCAATATTAGAGAACACTCCGCTGGTGTAGTCTATAGCATGATGTACTTCTAACTAAAAGGTTATTTAGAAGTTTTAATCTATGAGCCCACTCCTTGGGAGGAACAAGATGGACAGTCTCCTCCCATGTAGTTTATATCCTCCAAAAATCCACTGCAGGATCAGCTATGGCTCTGACTTGATGGTCCTGAATATAGGGTGGGGTTTTGTTTTGTTTTGTTCTAAATTGCAGCACATGAGAGACCTAGCCACATTTCTCTGTCTACTCCATCCTCCACAACCTGTGATTTCCATCCACAAGACCATAGTATAATCAAGATGGATGTAGCACCTTGTCATTTGCAGGAAAAAGAAAAATATTTCTGGTAAAGCCTATGCCTTTTAAGGAACCTTTCCAGTGTCTCACTCAGCATTTTTGCTTACATCGTAGTTATATATCCACATCCAGTTGCAGAAGAAACAGAAAAGTAATCTCTTGGTTGGGTTTGTTTTGTTTTTTTTGTTGTTGTTGTTTTAATAGATGGTGTATGTTCAGCTAAAAACTAAATTTTGTTACTAAAAAGAAGGGAATAGTAACGCTTAGTAGACAGCTTTCCATCTGCAGTAATTGGGCTGTGGGTAATTTTTTTGCTGGTGATTGAGTCACATGTTGATGATAATTAATATTTGTTGATGATTGACTTTGTGCCTTGCACTGTCCTCAGTGGCTTACACAAACAAGGCATCAGTCCCTGGGTGGTACAATCCCTGGGTGATTTAGGTGCTTGATGATGAACTAAAATATTAGAAGTTCAAGCCTACTCAGAAAGACACTTTGGATTAGAGCGCTGGTAATCTACTTCCCAAAAGTGTGCATGGTTCTCTTGTGACACAGGAGGTCACCAGGAGTTGGAATCCACAGTGACAGGTAGTTTTATCAATGCAGTCGGGGAGCTCCTGTTCTAATATCCATTTTAGAAATGAGGAAACTGAAACACTGAGGTTAAATAATTCATCAAGGTTACTTAGCGATTAAAATACAAGGTCTTAACATTCATCTAGCTACTTTGGTTCCTCCTCTTAGCTATTATACAAAGGACCTGTTATTTTCTATTCCCAAAGACTTTCTTTGAACAAGTACAAGTCCTTAATATGGATATTGTGCTTACCACTCTCTGTGAATTGTCTCTATTATACACACCAAATCTCTGAGGTCAGTTCATTTCCTGTCATCTCCCCTCCACGTCCTTCAAGAAATTGAAGCAAATAAATGAAAATCAAATAGTAAAAGAGAATGAAACTCAGTTTGACTCTAAGGTGTGTCTCCAACCATCAAAAGATTTTTCCTCTGGAACCTGATTTCTGTTTGTTGCCAGAGAAAAATTTGGAATGTTTCATTACAGGCTGTAGAACTTAATCACTTTCTTACTATCTAGTACATAAATACACTGTAGATATCTGTTAACTGTTTCAAGCCTGACTCAGCCCTGTTAGAGTTTTATTTACAGAGATTTCTATTTTTTTCTGTATTATAGCTTATCTGCTTGTGAATCTAAGTGTCCTTAGACAGATGCTAACATTAATGTCCCTTTTTCCCATAGTCAATTGTTCTCTATTGGTTGTGCTCCAGTTTCATGGGCCTTTTACAGAACTTGCTGCTACGTTCACCTCGATTTCGCCAATTTTGCCAAATACCATTGACGAAGTCGGATTCACCCACGCCTTATAAAGATCTTTTTGCTGCCTTTTATGCCAAGTTCCTTTCAAGAAAATAGTATACTTTTCAATAATTTTGGGAAAACTATGGCTTATCCTTTTTTTTTTAAAGTGGTATAGCCTTTATTTCACAAGAAGAACATAGTAAACGTCTATATGTTTGCTTTCCTCTTTATAAGACTGATACACATTTACTGCTGAACATGAATTGACAGTGCTAAGAAGAAGAAGGAGCTCTGGTGGCCTAGGGATGAGCTGCTCTGTAGTCCTGAAGGCCCAAGTTTGAATCCACTAGCTACTCTGCGGAAGAAGGATGGACAGTCTTCTCCAGTGCCATTTCCTCCCTGTCACTGAAAACCTCCTGGAGGGTCAGCTATGAGTTGGCTCCAGCTTAACCATGCAGCAACAAAGGGGAAAAGGCATCCTACACCAAGCTCTGAAAGCTTGACGTTTAAAATGTTGAAACTATTCTCTATCATATACTTTTCAGACTATGCTTTAATGGTTGTCAGAAAGGCTTAACAGTCTTGGGTTTAACAAACAAGGTATTGATAAACAAGATGTGGTTATTTAAACCAGTATGTTCTGAGTACTATAATGCAATTTAGCATAGCAAATCTTAGAAAACTCATGTTTCATATATTCATGTTTTCTTTGCCAAGACTGAACTATATGATAGGGGCTGATAGACTTGTAAAGAACTGCCATCTCTTGCTGCAGAACTTCCATTAACGTTTTTTTTTGGCAGTGCATCCATTTCTTTTTTCAGTTGACTTTGTGCTTCAGTAAAAAGAGCTTCATTCTTCTTCTCAGTGTTCTTCATGAATTGCCTATGTATTATTTGTGTTTCTTTCAGGGACTGGTCTTGAAAAATTCTAGACTGTTTAAAAGTATCTGCTGCGGAAACATTTCAGCTCTTTTTACTTCCTGTTCCTTAACATTCTTCAGGTATTTATCCTACTGCTGATACAAAGCGAGAAACTGCTAGCTGAATTCCTGAGTAAGCTTCTGCCATTGCTCTTGCCAGGCAAAGGAAGTTCCTGGGGTCCATTTGTTGTGGATTACTGTTCTGACTGGGTAGAGACTGAGGCCTCCTCAAGGGTGTGACTTTAAAATCTCCTTGATGAGGTGATGGGTATGTGCGCTGGTCTGGCTGGCTGACGTCGTGGTAGTGGTCATGCCTTGGTGGCAGCCAGGCAAGGGTAGTTTGTGGGGTCCATTTGTTGTGTGTTACTACTGATGGCAGAGGCCGAGTCCTGTTTGAGGGTGTGACTTCCTGTAGGGCCTGTTTTTAAATTTTTTGGTCAGACATTCTTCTAGGTCATATAGCCCTGGTTTGTTCACTTGCTGTACAGAGGTAACTAGTGGTGCCGGTGAAGTTGAACACTATGACACTGATGTGTCAAATGTGAGACACTGTCCCATGGTGGACAGTGTTTGGTGGAGCTTCCCGATTAAAACAAGCTTGGACGCAGAAGTGGCATCCACTTCCAAAATAGCTTGCCTCCAGAAATCCTATGAACCTGCAGAAAGGACGAAAGTTATACAAATGTCCAGGTCTTTTCGTCCATAGGGTCACTATGAGTTGCCTATGATTCGAGCACTTAACAACAACAATTCAATCTTCTGGGTACTAGTTTTGACACATGGCTTGGTATTTGTAAAAAGAGCCAGTCTGACCTCTTAAAATTCCACAAGGAGGAACTGCCTCTGATCAACAGCATTCTACTAATTGTACTGCTCTGCTGGGTTCACAATCCACTTCAGTGGCTCATAGACCGCACAGAACCATATTCAAGATTCTGTGGTTTTATTTGGAACATTACAGAATATAGTTTCTTAGGATAGCTTTTCAAGCATAGTTATAAGCCCTTGACCTTCAGCCTTGCTGATTAGGCCAGTGTTACAAAGCTCCTGGTCTTATTAGTTACGGTGTCTCCCCTCAAGTTCTGCAAGCTTGGTGATGGTCCTTGCTCTCTCCTGTGGGGTATCATTCCCAAGGTCAGCTCTGGTTCATGTTGGGTCTCTGGTTTTCTGCTGCAGCTGCAGCCGCTTCTGCTACACCTGTAGATCTCAATCTGAGTGGCACAGGAAACCCTGACACTGAAAGACAGGCTTCACTGCTGCTGCTTTGCTGGTGGTTACATTCTCAGAATCTGCTTGATAGAGTGGCAAGATGAGCCAGTGCCCTTACATCTCATTCTCATGACCTTACCATCCATGTGGGAAAGTCACTCAGTGGATAGGATAGCCATTTAGAGCAATAAATCCTTAACACCGCAGTATTTAAAATCATCTTTTGCTTTTACTAAGAGACTTCATAATGTTCTGTTCAGGTGTTTTCACCTCATGCCTCACATCTTTCTCCACTGATTCTTCAAATAGCTTTTTTCTCTCATGCTTTTCTATTCCTGCTAAGAGGTCAAAGAGCAGGTAGATGACAAGCCATGGCTAGGATGCCTGTGCTGCAGCCTCAGACTGGTGGGGGCCCTTTTTTAATGTACATAGTAAGAGCAGAAATTCAGAAGGTACTTCATTTGCCTCATTTAAAACCATAAACTTCATGTGTTGTGGGAACAGCTATGTTAGTAAGGTCATCTTGGAGGGATCCTAAACTTAGTTCCCTTTTGAATGATATTAAAATGGTAGCATGTACATACAGTCTGGGGAAATGCGTCATCTGAGAAACCATCTACAATCTAAGAAATGCTTAGGGTTGATGTCCTCATTGGGATATCTAGTCTCCAGAACTGTGATTTAATGTGTTTCTGTTACATCAGCACTAGGAAATTAAGGCACCAATCCTCCATCCTAATTTACAAAAGAGAAGAAAAAGTAGCAATAGTTTTCAAGGATGCACAAACTTTGATAGAGTGGCTGTTATTCAGAGGAGATGAGGAAAGCAGAGTGAAAAAGTTTGGGAGAGGAGGGATGCAGGGGGAGCCTCAGTAAAGGAAAAGGAAACATTGCTGTGAGCAGTTGTCAGATAAGAGATGACAGGAATGACAAGTGATCAGATATACTGCATTTAGGCAGCCACAATATTAGAAAATAATTAGTGCAAGCTGTGCCCTTGTAATCTGAAAAGGAATCTGTTAGGGCTAAAAAGACTGTTTCTGAGGATTCCTTCTGAGGATTACTCAGACCAGTGGTGAGATCTGGTCCCAGGGTCCAGTCCACTTCAGCACTTGGTTAATTTTCTCTCTCTCTCTCTCACTCTGCTATAGGCAATAGGCCCTTATGTCACTAGACATTATTGTTTTAGATTGGGCACTGTTTTGTGAGTTTTTATCAGTTTTTACTGATGTATGAACCATCCATAATACTGTACTATGTCAATGTACCATATTTTCTTTAGCCATTTTACCTTTGATAGACAACTGTGGTATTTCCATCTTTTTGGTATTGTAAACACTGTGGTAATAAACATATATGGGTATATGTTTGTTTTTGTGGCACCTTTATTTTTTAAATATATGCCTATCACCAGCAGTATGCGGGAGTTCCAACCTTTTTATACCCTTTACCAGCATTTGTTGTTTGCTGTACTACTGAGCTTTACTGTTACTGACAGGACAGGATGATATCTCATTGTTTTGATTTGCATCTCTCCAGCGACCCTATGTACCACGGCTATGAAACCTCCATTGTCATGAGACAGTCTCACTGACTCTGCACACCTACTCTCACTACCCCAGCTACTGTGTCAGTCCATCTCTTCTGCCCTGTCCCTCCACCCTTCCAAGGATGATGTCCTTTTCCAAAGACTGTTCCCTCCTAGTCACGTGCCCAAAGAATGTAAGACAGCTTCAAAATCCTTGCCTCCTCCAAGGAGCCATTTGGTTTCAACCTCTCCAGGACACACCAGTTTGTTCTCTTGGTGATCCATGGTATGTTCAAGACTTTTCCAGCACCACAACTTAGAGGCATCAGTTCTTTTGCCCTTAGTGATACAGCAAGTAATTGCAAAGACCATGGCTCAGAACGGACACACCTTAGTCTCTAGACTGACACTGTTCACTTTGGAGATGTCCCTAAGAGAGACTTCTCAGTGCAGTTCATCTTTTGATTTCCTGACTGCTGGTGCCAAGAGTTGATCATGGAGTCGAGCAACCTGTGATTGTTAACAACCTCAATCTCTTCATCTTTTGTGGTGCTGCTAAGTTGCACTGTGGTGAGAATCTTTTGTCATCTTGATGTTGAGCTTCAGTGCATATGGAAGACTAGATCTTCTGCAGCAAACACTTGAGGTGCTCCTTAGTTGCTGCAAGCAAGGTTGTGTCATCTGTGTAATGCAGGTTGTTGAGTCTTCCTTGAATCCTGATGCCACATTCCACATGTAGTGCAGCCTCCCAAATATCTGTTCTGCATAAAGATAGAAATGGTATGGAGACAGGATGTATCCCTGACACACTCCTTTCCTGATTTTGAACCATACAGTGCCTCTTGGCTCTGTTCTAAGGACTGTTTTCTGGTCCAAAAATAGGTTTTGCATAAGCACAGTCATAACAGCCTAATATATACATGAAAATGTTCACATAATGTCAAGAAAGCGGCAGGCAGCCTCAAACGTTATGAAAACAAAATAACCCTTCTCCTAAAAAAGCATATTACAGACCAAATGAATAGAGAACCAGAAGAAATAATATTGATATGGATTTATTTGAACAGCTACAGAAGAAGGTCAAATGATGGAAGAAATGACAAAAAACAGTAAGAAAGTGAATACTCCAGAGACAGGGAACCAGATGAAATATATCCTTGTGGAACAGCTTGAGCAACTACAGAAGAAAATGGAAAAGATGGAAGAAAGTATTGAAACTATAGATAAAGAGGTACAAGAACTTAAAACCTATCACAAAACAGGGGAGAGCCAATAGTACTGGAAATAACAGAAGTGCTTAAAAATGCAATCTAGATTAATAAGACTGAAATGGCAAAAGTGTACAACATGTTGGAGAGACAAAAGAGTAAAACAGAAGTGATGGAAATGAGAACCAGTGAGTTGGAAGACAGCCTCAGTGGAAATACACTAGAACGAAAGTCAGAGATGAGACATAAAAGGAACAATATAGGTAT